GTGCTGCAGACCACACGGCCGCGGGCAGGAGGCGAGGCTGCACCCACCTTTGGGGGGGGGGGGTATCTCTAGGGTGTGACTGGTTCAGGGGGAAGGGGGTGGAAGAGTCCCCACCTCAGTTCTCCCAGACACCCTAGCCCCCCTCTGATATCCTGAGGGGTTAGGGCCCTGGCTCCCAGGGCCTCGGTTGCAAAGCATATGACAGGGCGTCCCCTGCTGTCTCCCGTGCCCCCACCTCCACCCTGGCAACGGGGTGAACAGAAAGGGCTGCCCCCAGCTCCCACTGCTCCCAGTGGAGGTGCCAGATGATGCTGCCTTTATGTCTGAGCTCAGCTCAGAGCTCCAGGCCCCCTGGAGCCACCCCTGTGTTACAGGTGAGGACACCGTGGGCCAGAGAGAAACAACCAGTGACAATTAGGGGAAGACCTGGAATTTGAGCCCCGCTGTGCCACCAGTGACACCGATGAACTTGACCCCATGACTCAGTTTCCCTATCTGCGAACAGGGACAACAGCTACCTAGGGCAGGGTTAACGCAGATAAGGACTTTTAAAATTCTTCTTTTCTTATTTTTTTGGCCTCGCCATACAGCATGTGGGATCTTAGCTCCCCTACCAGGGGTCGAACCTGCAGTGGAAGCGTGGAGTCTTAACCACTGGACGGCCAGGGAAGTTCCAATGCCACTAAGGACTTTGAAGGCTCCAGGCACCGGCTGTCAGACGGAGCAGAAGAGACCCTCGAAGGGCCAGCCAGCAGCCTCAGGCCCGGCTCCACTGCTGGCTTGCTACTGGGCCTGCGGTTGGGCTCCTCCAGTCCTGCCCTGCCTCCACCCACATGCCAGCCTTGTCTCCCCAGTTCCCCGGCACCCAGGCCATAGCCAAAACCCTCTGGTCACTTCTTGCAGCATCTCCTGTTTCCAGTCCCCTGTGACCCCCTTCACGACCTGCCCAGGAGGCATCTTCAACCCTGGGGTCCACTGGCTGGAAGGGCTGAGAGGATCATACCCCCTGGGCCTCAGGCTTCTCGCCTGGACAAGATGACCTCTGACACCACCCAGATCTAAGACCCAGGGGCTTGGATTGAGGAATGAGGCTCTGTCCCAAGCAGGGCCTGAGGCCTATCATATCTGATGATGTGGGGAGAGCAAGCTATTGACGTCTGTCAATCATTCATTCATTCCAGCGCACACCTTCTTGTGCAGGCCTCACATTGGGTGCTGGGATTCAAAAATGACTCAGATGCTACCCGGCAGCCCCGGCCTGGCTGGGGAGTGTATTCATTATCTATTACTGCATGAGAAATTATCCCCAAATTCCTCAGAAGCTTATGATACCAAATGTTTATTATCTCGCCGTTTCTGAGGGTCAGGAATCTGGTAACAGCTTAGTTTCGTGGCTCTGGCTCATGGTCTCTCATGAGGCTGCAGTCAAGCTGTCAGCCAGGGCTGCGCCATCTGACGCCTGCCAGGGGCCAGAGGACCCCGTTCCAGGCTGACTCCCTCAC